ATACTACTACACCTTTTCATCTCAAATTCAACAAATGAAAGAACAAATTAGATGAATGAAATTTGATTTTCGACGAGTGAAAGGAGTTTTTCGCGAAGTGAAAGTTTAAATTCGAAATGAAAGTTAGAATTTCGTTGACCGGTCGAAAACGAAAGTTCAAATTCGTAAATGAAATTTATGAATTCGGAAATGCAAGTTCAAATTCGTCGAACACAAGACCGATTTCGACCAATGAAAGCTCACTTTCATTCGATGGAAGGAAATTCTCGTCAGCGTCGTGCCACGGATCGACTTGCGACTCGCAAATTGCGAGTGCTGATGGTTCTCTACGGGCCGCACCGTAATGCTCAACAGTACAGCGCAATCCACAAATTTGCAATGAAGGATTTTCAGAGATTCGAACCGGGAGATTGCTTGGGTTTGATTCTCCCATGGAGAATCTCTATTACCCTTCCGATGATATCGGAAGGACGATGGGGTCAGCACATGTTCGGTTCGATTTCCTGACCGCCGAACCGAACTTTGATCGACCGAATACCGAACCGGACCAACCCTCTACGAAAAGTTCGGGTTTCGACGGGTTACATCGGTCCCGGACCGACGGTCCGACGGACCGATGTGACCCAACGTTCCGGAGAACTACCCGTGAATCTCACTCAGTGCAATAACTGTTCACATTTGAGAAGTGCCTCGAGCAGTCTTCGCACATTGTGCGAGTTGTCAACTCGTGGAGTGTGAATAGCGCATATCGAGATGTGGTGCAAGTGCGTGTAGTGTGAATAGTGCATTTCGAGACGTGATGAAAATGAGCTTTCATTGGTCGAAATTGGTCTTGTGTTCGACGAATTTCAACTTGTGTTTCCGAATTCATAAATTTCATTTACGAATTTGAACTTTCATTTTTGAGTGATCTACGAAAATCGAACTTTCATTTCGAATTTGAACTTTCATTCGGTGAAAAACTCCTTTCATCCGACTAAAATCAAATTTCATTTTTCTAATTTGTTCTTTCATTTGTTGAATTTGAGATTGAAAAGGTGTAGTATGAGAATCGTCTCACTAGAGTGTCTCATCCAATCGACTTACCTCAGACCACCACGCCACACATGGGATGGATCAGCGTTATGAGCTAGTTCTAGGTAGGTGCTTAAATTCAAAAAAGAGGAGGTGCTTGGTATGAAGGCAGCTGGAACATAGTATGGTCACCAGAGTATGGTCTCCACAGCGGACCCAGTCACATACTAACACTACCCACTCAAATACTGACATTACGGATGCGCTGACAAGCCTTATCCAACACTAAGAAACGAAAAAGTCCTGAAACGATTGTCCATGTCGCAATATATGGATCCATCGTCAATATTCTATCGGCTCATCGATATCAGAATCAATATCTTGACGCTCATCATCATAGACATCTTCATCATCCCAATGAATGTCGATCATCTGGGCGTGCGCATAGAACGACGAATTCTTGCTGACCTACAACCCAGCAGGGGTATCACGTTCACAAACCGTGGCCTCGCCTACCCTCCATCGCTTTTTCAATCTATGCAGCCTGTTGATACAGCATTTAGCCAATTTGATGCTCGGAAACTTCAGTATAAACGCACAAGTACCATCGGATTGAAACACCTATGGGAGATCGAGCCTTATGGGAGGACTAACCGCGACAGCGAAACCTTCTCAGAGGGAATCACTGAGGCCACATACCCGTACTGTCGCTCGTGCAATGCACGGAGCCTTTCCCGCAAACTGCGGCACGGGCAACTTCTACTTCAGATGCGGCTATGAATGTCCCGATAAACTTATGTAAGCCTCAGAAATTCCGAGACTACGGAACCTCCGATTCCGTAGGTAGAAAGCCAGTCATCGGAAACCCTGTGAAGTCTACTGGGAAGACCCCTGACTCAGTGATACTGAGAAGCTCAGCACATCAAGGTACGAAAAATATCCAAAAAAGTACCGTACACCAGTAATTTCCTCATAAAAAATTATCCTTTTCCGTTTCTCCCTCCCCAAAACACCCTGCTTCACGCGTAAAAAATATTGTAACTCCGCCTTGTATATCCTTGACTCACCCTATGAACAGCAGTTGGGTAGAATCGCAGGCTATGTAGGAGGCCCTCGAGCTGCTCGTTGTCAACATCCTCATGCCATCCAGCCGAAAATACATTGTACCTGAAGGATTTAGAAAATAACAGTTCTAGGTGCCGTCATAAAGCAATGCGCCTCCATTCTCATGACCTTTCACTTCTATAGAACTACCGCGAGCTCAGGCAGCTACAATGGCTGCTCAAAAAGAGAGTATCAAGTATAAGTAGTAATTTCATACGGTGTCACAGTCACGATCGCAGGCTGGTATTCAGAACTATTGAGATACATCGGAGGAACTTACCGGCTGTCAGGGCCGCTGCTCTTCATCAATGCTATGTCCATCTCATCACCCGTACTGGGCACGAAGATGGCTTGTCTCGATGCCCAGATAAACGCGCATCCGAATGCTTCTCCATATGCCCGTCGTTTTGGTACTGCTATTTCTTGTATCTGAGGGATCAGGTAGTATAATGCAAAATATGATGTGAAATTTCTCACACGGCCCCAGCTGCTGGGGCCAGTAACGCAATATTTATGAGCATCTCTATCCGTTGATGGTCCAATGAACACAAGTCGAATAGATATTTTTCAACAGTAACTGTTGTTTAACCTTCACGAGTCATGTTGACTGACTATGCGAGACCAGCCTCATCAACGAACCCTCAACGGCTAACTCTCAGTTCGGGAGCTACAAGCTCCCCATACTTGAGAAATGCGACTATATTCAGGGGATATGGCTGTAAGTCTGGAGCTGTGACTCAGACTCCGAGAGAAGCTTGTCGAGACTCAAGTTAGAGATGTCTTATCGGAGGGAAGAGCACGCTTCACTCAGCCAGTAATGCACTATAACTACTGAAGATACTCATGATGAAGTATAACTGACCATAGTCTTCTAGACACATGGAATAGTGAATACGCTCTATGATCCACATGTGGGATGGAAGAATTCACCACCAAGTCAGTCTGACTGACCTAGTCAGAGACTGCACTGTTTGTTAAATTGGAAGAGAGATTGAAGATACTATCTAACTGAGTCTCCCTATCTCCGCGATAAGTATGTCCTCAACTTTCTCCGTGGTCTCTCTCTCACTCACCCTGAGACTCCGCAACAGAAGGGGATACGTTTCAAATGTCGATTCAATGCTTCCTCGCTATCGTAGTGATGGCGATTCGCCATTGGTGACTGATATAATCAAAACGTTGCAGCTCGGTGGTGTCCAGATATGGTTCTATACTGAAATGCCTCTCTTGCATAGTAACTCTGGGTACGCTTGGAATGAAAGCGCTCGTGGTGCAAGGTTGGATAGGATACATAGCTGAGGTGAAGAGAGCTTTTCAACCTGAGCGATCGTCCGTCAGGGAACCCTCCGGTCAACCGACCAAGTCAGCCATTGTTTGCTCGTCTCAGTGAGAGCCGCCAACTCCACCATACTGTAGACTTCACAAGCAATCGGGCTCCTCCACTCGGAGTAGGGAGGGAGCATGAGAACCACTAGGAGAGAAGGGATCGAACGAAACGTATCTTCGTCAATTTATCCTTTCTATTAGAAAGTTTCTAAGGAATGCTGTCAACTTCAGGACACGGTAAGGTGTGTCGATAACAGAACGATCGGACGGTCCAATTCAGACCAACACTTACTTTCTCCATAACCCTCACACTGTCCTTCACCGACTTGCACAAAACATACACCGTGTCACTCTGATGACCCTTCCGCTGGAATCGAAAGACGATGTCTCGAGGATCTACTTCAACATCGGCGTGCTCCTTTAGTACTTCCTGGACCTTGAACGGGAAACGCAAAAAGGGAGTAGTCACTGCACGAGACTCGATGGTCTACGAAACTTCCGTTGAGAGTGAGCTCGCATCATTCCATCGAAAACTACATCAGTCCGTTCGATTTGTCACAGATGCCATGATGCTGATATATGGCGTGTCACTAAGACACTGTTAAATTTCTTCGGAGCTAGTGACCTTGCCACACCGATGAACTAGTGGTTCGGAACCACGGAGACATTCATCTACCGTCGCAATGAAAGTAGCTACTAATACTTTCTCGAAGTATCTTGCTCTATAGCATCCATTTGAGGGATTCCCTTATATTTGAGTCTATCACTGAGGGCTCTAAAGAGCACTTGTTGAATCGCTAATGAGATGTTTTCGACACTCGCTTTTGTTTTCTCGCCTCACTCACACTATCAACATCATTAATATGACTCCTACCTCTATTCGACCATATGTTCTCGGCAACCCTGTAAGAGTTACAACTCGATCAACTTCACCCTGACTATCAACTGCCAGACGCCGTAAGTCTGCCGACAAATTATGGAATCTCTCTGCTTGCTCCACGAACAAAGAAATGTCATGCGCATCCAGAGCCCTACAAGAGAATAGTTTCCACCGGCTTGAACAGGGAGACAGAATTTGATTCAACAATGGCACCGATACCAGCGAAAGTCTTTCTGCCGAGTTCGAACTCGAGCCGATTGGAAACGTAATAGCAAATCATGAATTTTCTACAAGTCATCATACTAGCTCACACAATGTATACTTCAATCACAGTACACAGTATACTATACGCTAGAATAGTGAGTAGCATCCGTGATAAAACCGCTCTATACCACCACTGGATAATACGTGTCTCCGATGAGCACCTCGGTTGAACGAAAAGGAGTCATTCAGAACATAATGGAATCGGCGACGAGTTATCCAGATCCGAAGAATGCGTAGAGTCAAGATCCAGAGCCTTACCGACAAAAGACGTCCCGAGGAAGAACAGCCTGCAGCCTCTCAGCCGTGACTAGTCTATTCACCACCGCACACCGCCCTGAAGACCAACGAATTACGAAAAAGTTGGTACGCACGCATGCGCACCTGTGAATCTGCCCAGTGATGAGCGCATCAACAACACATCATCCTCACTGATGTCCTCTCTCGTCACTCTCGACATCAGCTCAATAACATCCGCCACCGTTGTCTAAATTTCAAAGGTCAACCGGAGGTCCCAGGTTCGATCCCTGCACCCCGCACCTCTAAAGGAAGCTTCTCGATCAACAAGGCTTCTTGCCTCTCAGTTATTGCGAATGTATCAAGCGTTGGGATCGACGTCACTTGAGTGGCAACATGAGGATTCATGTTGTGCGTTGGAAACTCCTTTGTCGCCCAGTCTGTCACAGCTTCAACGTGTGGCTCGCCATCTACTGAAAGATGAATAGACAATACAATAGACGATATCAACGCTCCTCATTACGCTATGCAAGTCCATAGGAAGGAAAGTCGTTGCTATAAGATATATATCAAGTAACGCACTTCTATAATCAACCTAAGGATGTCATCGGATTTGGTATGAGCATTGATGGAAAACTCAGTCTTCTCACTGAACTAATTTTCTTACCAATACTTACCTTCTTCCAATAACACTAGATGACGGATTTTTAACAACCGAGATTCATGATTCAACAATAGTCGCTCACCTCCACTGGTAGTCTCACTAAATCGTCGCATGTAAGTCCGGAGCATGGATGCCCTAGTGGGTCGCGGGACCAGCAACGAGTGACGCAGGCCTAACATCGGCGACCCAAAACGATTGCTATCACACAACCATTAATTTCTGCCATACCAACCAACATTCATTTCGTTACCACTCAAAGAATTCTACTCCAACCAAACAGTAAGCGAGCATTCCTATGAAATCGATATCACTCATCAATTCCGCTGTACTATCGCGCGCCACAAAATTGACCCACTAACACAACGTGTTGAGACTAGCTCTCGGTCTGTTTGAAGCATACAGGAGTAAAATACAAAGACTCTCATCTCCAGTTCTTTTTATAACTAAGATCGATACCACGTGGAACGCCCTCTGCCCTGCCGTCCCGCTCAGCACGGTGTTCTCGTTCGCGCTCGATGTTATGGGTCGACTTATCTTGAAACTGAAATGAGGAAAAATTATGGCAATTCACATATGAAATTCACTGAGACTATACCCGTCTCGAAATTTCAAAACCCCAATAGAAACTTCCATAAAAAAAATCACAATTTCACAACAAAAAAACCACGTCGAACTTACTACTAGTTAATTACTTACTCATGATATTAAATTCACTATTAATTACTATGATAATTGATTCTTTCATAACCAAAATCTTTCCTAATCATAAATACGACCATTATCAGATTCACCTCTTCCTATCCATACCATCTCATACCAAAATTCTATCACAAATTGTATCAACAAATTTCAACTTTGTAATACTTCATATATTCAACATACTGTGTTGTCCCTTTAAATATTCAACACCAATAATAGTAACAATAAAACCAATAAGAATATGCAAACATCTCCATGATAATTCAAAACACACTAACACTCACCCTCCTAGTGCGAATATTCGTCTCAAACATCCTCCATCCCATCGCTCGGGCATCTCTTCCTTGCTCCCATCGCTTCTTAGCACGACTCGCTTCTAGTCTTTCCTCAGCTGCTCGCTTCGCCCCTTTATGCTGAAAAAAGATTTATTATCAGTGCTGCCCTGCCAAAAATAAAATAATAGTTTTCACGCAAATCCGTTCGATGTTTATATAAATCACTCTCATCATTAATCATTTCAAAATGCCGATAAATAACTCAACGAAAACCTCAACAGGAGTATGCCAACTCTCTCATTCCGTCCTATTATATAAAGCAATGCTGCAAAAAATGTTCGCTTTCCTCAGCTCAGCTCAATACTTCCCTCACTTAGCACAGAAGTTCATATACGAATTGGGAGAATATACGAGTAGTGTACAGAAACTAACAGGGATTATCCAGAGTCTAAACATTGTCACCAACACATGTGGTTGACCATGTCCATATTTTACCACACTGATATACAGTACGCGACATCTAAAACGCGCATTCTGCCAGATAGACTCTTCCTCAGCTCTATTGATGTTCGAGCTAATTTGTTTACCAAACATCTTGTACTGAATTCGCGCACTTCAAACTCTGAAAAATTTTTTCAACCCTCTTCTCACACCTACTGCAACACCCCTGTATATGTATATTAAAATCCATGCGAATTCACACAAACTAGTGAAATCTGCCCACGATTTCATTCAACTCAGTAATCTGATTTCATTTTAATTCAAACAGTTTATTAACGAGTTACATCCTACGTCTAAGCGTATCACTCTTCAGAAAATTCTCCCGCATGCACCATATCAAAAATTCTCATATCATACCACACTCTACACATCAACCCCACCAACACCCCCCCTTCCCCCTCACCAGTCGTTCCTCATTAGCTTGCGCCGTGTTATTAGCATAATCTTCATCCTCCTTCTCCTTCTCTAATATCTTCTCACACTCATTCATTACCTGACAATTTCGAAAAATCCCAAAAACACAAATCGGTAAAAACGTCATCATTGTCGACTTATAACAACAAAAGCGCGCGCCCAAGTGATCGATTGTCTAAGAAGTCCAAGCCCCTTACATCATTATTGAAATCCTCTCCGTCCAAATCTAACGGATCCTTGCCATCCCTCATCCTCTCAATATTCTCCTTCTTTCGTCGCTTTAATACACGCTTCTTTGCATGGGGAATTATCTGAGGATAACAGACGATAATACGACCATTATTTCTTTTATCATATACAACGCTGAAAGATCATGATGCTAGTCTCAATAGGTAATTTCTACTCATAATACGTAACTTTCTCCACCGAGTCGAAACGATAATGTGAACTGCGACTTTTGTTATCCACTACTAATATTTTAACAAAAATAACTCTCGTTACATACAGCGTCGTGTTGTTATACAGCTGTATTGGTATTGGTATTGTTATGAAATAACAATACATACATGCTGTATAATAATGTGCTTCTTTCTACACACGCTGAAGATACATGATAAAATGAATTGCAACAGTCTAGCCGATAAGTTCCCTCCCCCATCCCCCCACCTCTTTATATTTATCGTTATAATTAGGATCATTGATATCCTTCAACGCCTTCGCCAAAACTTGGAAAGCCTCAGCAGCTTTCGGATGACTGCACTTATCAGGATGAACCAATAACGATAATCGACGATATCTGATATTATCAGAATGCGAACATGATTTTGCAAAGGTGTGGTATGAGATTCATACCACATATAAACAACACATACAAATTCTGCCATAAATGTACAGAAAATCAATCAGAATTTCCAGAAAATCCCAAAAAACACATGTAGTTTACCGTATGTATTTTCCCACACTCAATTCTAATTACAGTTCATTCCCCGAATTTTTCCGAAATTTTCCGAATTTTTTCCGAATTTTTTCCGGAATTTTCCGGAAAATTCCGACCCTTCAACTCACTGTTTTTGTATCTCCTTATCCGTGTGCTCCTCCGTGGGGTCCAACAGCAGCACTTCGTACCTGACGTTCTTCACATACGAAAATCAAATACAGCACCCATATTTCCCGCGATATAAGAAAATTCACCACTTTTTCCACCGAGTACTCGACTAATCCATAACGCGAAAAAGACAAAAAGATCACATTTTTTTCGCAAAATTTTCAAAATTTAGGATCACCAGTATGATATAACAATAACACCACCATATTACAATATATATACGTACGAACACCAAAACATAATTCTCTCAACAGAAACCAAAACCTCACATAAACCCAACAAAGATGTCCCCCTCCCCCTCTTCTCACGCGCTTGTAAAAACCTTCGCAGTGAGCCTATCCGCCTGATAATTCGGATCATTATTGTCCTTCCCTGCAAACCGTTTATGTAGTGCTTTACCTGAAGACACCAACGTTAATCTCCAATACCCTACATGGCACATCACGCACTCCCAACACATCCCACTCGAAAACGACTAGTCCAACCGAATAAACTCCATCACTGAGTAGTTCATATGCTAGCAAACCTATACCGAGGTAAACTTCTATAACTTCACGGTACTATCACCAATTCAAAAAAGCCAACATCACGACCGTTTTTACACAGTGAAAAACACCAAGGCGAATAAACGTCCTCATACCACTCCATTTTCAAATCTCAGTTCGCTTCTAATAATGAGTATTACTTTTCGCAGTTTGCAAGTGATTAACTTCATCCTCGAACATTTCCATCAAATGCGCAAACTCATCATCAGTCTTCGCCTCCTTCCCAGGTTCGGCCGAGGTCGTGGAGGATGACGTAGACATCGTTAATTCTGGAAATCTTCCCTGTGCGTAAAGATACCAAAATCAACATCCCCCTACATAACGTCACAACATCCATCTTAAAAACAATCAGCATCTGGGGAGAATCGAATGTGAATATTCCTAGACCTTTACCGATCCATTCTGAACACATCACTGAATATGAAAACATTGACCACCGTATAAAAACGCGCCCAAAAACCGAGCTACCTATAGCTCTACACCTCTCCACACATTCCTAGCAATGCTAAGTACATACCACACATTCATAAGTACATACCTCCCTGAGCCGCAAGATGATACTCGTTGTGGTGGCTGTCCACGAGTCGAAAAACCGGATATGCTAAGAATATGTGGAGGGGTGTACTACTTATATCATCACCACAACAACATGTCCCTTCAACCGAAACCAAACACACAGCAATTTGAAATTTCCTGACACTGCATAATAAATAAACAAACCGAGATCGTCACGCGCCACAAAATTCAAACTTCCAACTTCCAACTACCCTACACCTACAAAAGGGTTGGAGGGAAATTATCATTTTTCCCAAATTTCAATTCTCACTTATCAGCTTTAAACCTCACTCAGTATTACGCGATCAAGAAAGCACCCTTATAAAATTTAGCAACAGCCAAATTGCCTTTAACTCTACCACTTCTCGATCAGCATTCCACTCAGGGATACTACTACGAATTCCCTACGACAAGGATAACCATTCTCAGGTACTTACACTAAAGAGATGAGTGGGAAGGCTCAGATCACAATGATGCACACAGAGTAACTCAGCTAAAGGGACATAATGCTCAACTACTGCCTGATTACAGCATCTAACATCTCGCGCATTCTTCAACTAATCACAATAATCTACTACTTCGCAACAAAATGCTTCTATCTATATCGAAAACAGTAGATTTCGTCAACAACACAGTGTAATTCACAAAGGTCTCGACGTAAGCTTCCACAAGCCATCATTCAAGTAATGGATATTCTCAATCGCTATGCCTTGGTTCGTCGACCTCCTGAAACGATCAAAGTTGAGAACGGCAATTTTTAACACTAGAGTTTCACCCGTTTTACGCGAAGTGAAATGTGGAATGTGTTTTTCACTAGTGTTCTTCACATCAGGGGTGAAACTCCACTATTATATAAACTCGATAAATTTGTTTTTTCGCGAAAAAACATTTAGATGTGAAGGACATTTTTTCCCTAGGCCACCCCATAGCAGTAATTGTCTTGTGTATTTCGCGACGTAATTTGACTTCATTTCACATAGCCATACTCACTTGGTAGAAACGCCAATTCGCGTTTCACGAGAGAAACTCCATTGTCGAAATATACTACTTTTCATACACCATAGATATCTATAAACTATATTATTACCACCTAACTCATTCTATAGATGAATAATATTACGAATTCTTATGCATAATATTATACATTTCCCCGACTATACCAAAATTGTCACCAAAATTCTCTCCCAAAATTTCCGAAAAAACCATATCGCGAACCGCAACAGTTTAAATTTTTCCAATTCAACTCATACCACTCCCCTGTTACATCTCATCAGCTGACTGCAACGTCCTCCCGATAGCACATATATGTTCCTTTCCCTCTGCTACGACCGCCTGAAGACATCCTCGGGCAATATGGGTTCATCCGGTGATCGATCAACACCATTAAAGATCGCAGATTAATACGCTAATCAGTGAATGTATTTTTTCGGAAAATACGAAAGAAAATCGCAAATTCTTCGGAAATTTCCCAACAAATAAACAAAACAATTCTTTCACCAATGTCACTTTTCTCACATACAGAGTGTTGTATAAAAAGTCAAAACCGGTACGGCGTTTGCCATGTGGCCGACGTTATGTTTAACGATAACTCCATGCATAATTCCAATATCAGAACCGTTCATGCAGCCTTGGAAATGACTCGACAAGAGCCTTAACACGAGGGAGTTACTAAGCGTAGATCCTTTCTTCACCCCCCTCTATGAACAACCAATTCGCAAACTTCTCCAGGAGAGATAGAGCCTCTGATATTACAACTATCTGATCCTTTTCCAAATGCTCTGGCAGCGCCCCTCCAGGGCTTGTCAGGCCAGGGGTCATTATATTAGCACCTTGAAATAAAAAACGACCTACCAGTAATATAACCCACCCTCCGTGAGCTACCACAGGAACTTGGAAAATATCTTTCACATGATATGAAGGATATTTTGTATGATATGTTAATATTATATTAACACTCTATATGAATGATATCAACTCCCCATGCACAATTCAATCTAGATAAAGCAACGAGTCCTGTGCGAAAATTCCTTTCAAATGAGCCTAAAACGACTAAGTGAAATTGAAATACCAAATAGGAGCGCTGATCTATTCAGTCAACAAATGAACTCGTCTATCAACGAAAATATCTTTCACAGATAGTTCAATACTTAAAATCAAATATTCAATCTTCCCCGTGCGTAAAGATTCCTCCCGAACTACCTTTCAAAACAAACCGAATCGCACCACGATCGACTCGTACCAACGGCATCATCGTGGGAACTGAATAAACAACAAATATTTTTCCGTCATACCACCCCTTCCTCAACTCCTACATCTATGCAACGTTCTAAGTGTGGGAATCCACGGGCCATCCCTCAGCTGGAAGAACAACACCTCCCCGTTTACGGAGAACATTTGAACATGGTCCTTACTAAAAAGATAACAACACTCAACTACGTCGATGAAGGCGGCCCAAGCAAATCCACGTACTACGACCGCAACCAGTTAGGGTGCTGGGCTAACAACCAGAAGGTCGAAGGTTCGATCCCGGGATGTGTCATTAAGATATCGACTTACAGTAACCCTACATGTAATACCATACTACAGACATACAGTAGCGCAATTACACGTAATACAAATCCTACACTAATATTATTCTTTAAAAGATATCATTATCAGCTACCGATCGACACTCCCCCCTCCTCCTCCACACAGTCCCATCTTTCCAAATCCTACCACTTCACTAGAACATTCTGAGCCTTCTTGGGAAAGAGGCCAGGAGCACACTCCTCCATCCTTGGGTAGTTCTCGATGACATCAGCTTTCACTCCACGGGCTACCGACGACTTAGCTTGATTCTGGGTAGAGATATCGGCCTCTGTAAAGGACTTGAACATAGCAGGGTAAAAAGAAACAACTAATTTGCAATGGAAAATCATTAGAATTTCCTATAAAATTAGTTTACTCTTTCGACACCCTCCCACAAAAACATTATCAAGCTCTGGAGGTCAGTTGCTTTTCTTGAATTTTCTCAAAATCAAAAGTTGCTTTTCTATTGCGGAGTTTTCATGCACCGTTAAATAGGGAACACGCCGTGATTGACATATAGGGTATAGCCTGGCAAATTACCAACTACTCGAGTAAGGAAGCCTACGCAGTGCGCATTATTTCGAGCATACCAATTTTGATACAACGCACGATGAGATAATAGTTGATCACAAACACACGATAACGCCTTCAATCGCCAGAATTAAACAAATAGATTTCACAGAAACCATACCGCACCACTTCGAACATGTTATAAAATCATTCAAAGTTCTCCACATCACTCGGCGGCAGAACTCCTGCATCTCGAGCGTCTCGTATCAACTCCATCAGCTCTGCCCTTTCCCTCTGTTATCAATCACCTCTATGAGCTGAAAACACTTACTACCACTATTACCTCTTTTTTCACATAATGTAGCCATGCACGATGCACAGACTCATTCCAAGAGCTCGCCACACTACCAACCATATAGAAGATAACTCCTGAAGAAAGAGGGTGAATGAATAACATTGAACGGCTAGAGGCCTACCGAATAAGCCTGTAACAGTGACACGCCAACAGAAGTTCCAGAAGTACTGTCGACGGATGTAGAAGGCGGCCCAGTTTACCATGAGATGAGAGTGAGAAAACGAGGCCTTCAGTGAGGGAACTTACGGTGATGGGAAAGGCAAATAGATAACAAGCCAAATATAAAGGGCCCGGGTTCGATCCCTGCACCGCGCATTTCTTAGTGATCGCGGGTTCGATTCCCGGCGCGGCAAACAGATTGCGTCACTATTTATTCCGGGGCCCGTCACTATTCTTGCACCCTGTACAAAACCTTATGCCCCTATTCTGCGCATTTTTGAGAAGGCGAGTGACGGCAATCGGGCAGTAGGGATACATCAATCTAGTAGCCTAGTGCTGCTTGTCATAGGTGAAGTACTTGAGTCAAGAGAGTAGTGTCGATCGGAAGGTGTTTTGTTGGTGTGGAGAGGTAACGCGGGGGCAGGTTTTGCGAAGTACTGTGTGTCATTCAATGGATGTATACTTCTCCCGGCACGGTGAAGGAGTTGTGGACTCTGAAGAGAGAACTGTTCAATTCAAGCACGGAATTCACGAACGACGGGTTCACACCCGAACACAGACAGTTCTCTGGGTAGACGAGAGGTTGGAGGTGGGCGATGGGTGCGAGTCTATGAGACCCTTCTACATATATGTACTGCTCTGTTGTATGTCGTAGCTGTCTCTGGATGAGTTGGACATGACATAGAACAGCAGGCGTGTAGCTGCTGTCTTGTTAAGCGACCGTAGTCAGTGCATCGGTAGTGTTTGCAACTTGTGCGTAAACATCGACCAAAACAGCAAAATATAGATTGAACAAATATTTCAGTCGTTTTCTACTATTGATATGATCATGGACATTATTAATGCAACCGATGCGA